TAATATACAAACTAAGCTTAGGCTGAGCAGAGACAAAGGTGAAAATACTAAAAAGAGACAAAGAACACACAGGGTAAATATGGAACAGAGATCAGATGAGATCAATAAGCCTAGCAGTAACTAGAAGAACTTGTGTAGAATAAGACAAGATAGACTAGAAAGGAAGGAGGGCACATCAGTGGAAGGGCAAAGAACCCCTTGCCATGGGACAGCTACTGTGGACGATAGCGATTATGTCCCAGCTTTAATTTATTCCATTATATTTTTCCTCACGTATCTGTGGTTCCCTTTTTAAAAATTAATCATTATCCTTATTATTTTTAAACTAATGAGATGTCACAGGCACTTAAATGAATGTGACATATTGGCATTTTTCATAGCCTTTATTCCCAGGACATATAATTTGATGTATAGTGGGTTCAAGGAAAGTGGCATATGTTCTGTACAATTACTGATTACTGCCCCCTCCTTTTATACTGAACAGTGATTTAATCAAATGGGTGACTTATGATTTTTCTACTTTGATCATTGGTTTTGTGTATGTGTGTTTAACAACCCTTTTAGGTTTGTTGCTATTCAAGGTCTCAACCTTTAAGAAATGTAAAATATTATAGTAACTGCCTTTGTATATCTTTTCCTTCTTAGAGAAGGAAAAGTTTGGACTAACTTTACAATCAGTTAGCATGTTATACACAGAAAATATATTTTGTACTGTGAGGTGCTTAGCACTGTGCTAGGTGCTGTGTAAGAAAAGAATCCTCTGATAGTCTGCCAGATCTTGGTTTATTGCAGTAGGAAGACATACAAAAGGGAAATAAGACAGTATGTAATAACTGAGCTGAATATAATCAAGTATCAAAATACAAAATGTGGTGAGGGCAATAGGTGTTCAGAAAGAGAAACTTGCTAGAGCTACCATGAATTTGGGTCATGGCTCTGAATCCTAGTGAGGCAAGAGGACATCTAATCTAGAGGTTAAAGCACTGGGCATGAGTAAATGCATAGAAGAGGAAAGAGTTTTATTCATGGAAGAGAAAGACTAGATACCTTTTCATGATTAAGTTTAATTTGTGAAGGTCCCCATGGACCAAGAAGTCAGACTTTAATCTAACGAGAAATGTAATCACTGAATGCCCTTTGGTAAAAAAAGACATGGTTTTTCTGGCAAGTTAGAACAGGACAAAGATAAAGGAGTGGGATCAGTGACATTAGAAACCAGTTCATAGACTATTAAGTTATCACGAATAAATGACAAAAGGAGTCAGAACAATATTTGACACACAGCAAGCATTCAATAAAAATGTTAGCTACTATAAAATAATTCCAAGGACTTGGCATGGTAGTAGTAGAAAGGTTGAGAAAATAAATTCTACTGGAAAAAGCAACAGCAAGATCAACTATAAAAGTATCAGTTTCACTTTATGAGGAAGATGACTCCTAGATATTTTGAGCCTTGGTTATCCATGAAAACATACATTTAACTGCTCTGGAAAAAAAAAAAAGTTGATTGTGTAATATTCCTAATTTTCAATTCATAGCCATTTTTGGGGAATGTTCCCGAAGAACTGGTCTTCTAATTCCATTTCCACATCTTTATTCCTATATGAATAACAACTTTCAAATTGAGTAAATGCAGTAATGTGTAGTTTGCTCTAGATTTAGAAATGGAGAGATTCAAATCCTGGCTCCATTCCAGGTAATTTTGAGCATGTTACTAAACCATTCTCAACCTGTTTATTATAAAACGGGACTAAAAATTACTCAAAGGTTATGAGGGTTCAATGACATTAACACATTCTACACTTGAGACTTAAACTTCCCTTTATAAGATAGGAGTTATATTCTCTAACCAGATCCAACTGTTCATGAACGTCAGGATGTAACAGATTGCAAAGCACAGTCGGAGAGTGAAATAGGAATTGTGAAAAAATTAATTTTTGAAAATAAGATATATTGATCTAAAAACTGTTTAACCTTGGGATTTAGTTTGGTGAGCTTTCAAGGAAATATATGAGAGATTCTACTTCCCACCAGATCCACCCAGAGAAAGATGTTTACCAGTAAGTGAATTCTTCATCTCCACTTGCAGGGGGGCTATTTAAGGTTTGTCACACACTTCCTATTAACCAACTGGTTCTGACACTATTAAAACATGCAAATTTCTTAAGGAAAGCAAGCTACAGTCTCTTTAACGTTGAATGAATATCAGGCCAGTTTTTAAAATCTTTCCAAACCATTAAGTCAATACTAATGGGGAAAAAATAAGAATCCTAAGAATTTCATGAAAAGGCACTTTATGAAATCTGAAGGCAACATAACTATGAAGTTAAAATTTATTTGTTCCTAGATTAATTTAATAAAGCAAATGCTTTGGGGTCAATTCATTCGCCAGCAGTTTATATACAGAAAACTAATATTAGCCTAAATTAAATGCAGGTAGGATAATATGAGGAAAAGAAACATAATCTGTACTTTTTACCCACGCCATTACTACAATAAAAATTCATTAATTTCAGTACAAATTCAGGAATTTTATTTAACCATTAAGAAAACTTTAATGCTCTACCATATAACTTAATAGAAGAAAAATTTTAAGACTGAATACAAACTATCTTAAGACATTAATCAAACTTTTAATGTATCAATTTATTGCATGTCAGTATAAAAATTAGAAAGTATATTTTAAAAGAAATTTATTGTAAAAAACAAATGTAAATGTTTGCTCGCCATGGTTAGCACATAATGTACTGTACCACTCAAATTTGAGTTATAAAAGTTTATAACTGCTTCAAATAAAATATGGCAACAAAAATATAATTTACATTATGAAACTGGATTAACTTATCCTGAATGTACTTAAATAGGTTGAAAACAATTTTTCAGTACATGCTGTACTGATAGAAATTATTATAAATTACATTAAACACTTATCTCTATTACATGTGATATGCACTTTTTGTAAAAAAAAAAGTGTCTGTCACTTTTCAACTATATTTTTAATTAAAAAATATAAATGGAGGTATATTTGCGCCATTTGGCAAAAAATATGCTACTACTATCAGGATGAATGAATTTTGCAACAAAACAAATACATTATTTTCGATTAGCTAAGATGGTGTGAAAATATGGTAATGTAAACAGAGAAGTGCTTTGCATTTTCTAACCAATTATTTAAAAAATAGATGTCTATGTTCTGTCATTTCCAACTTTACCTGAGTGATATGAAAATACATGTATTTAAGTAGATAATCCAAAAGCATTGACTAATTTTTTCCCCCTCCATAACTGTTGTCGAAAATAACACGAAAAACAGAGGGGAAAGTTCAGTGGAGGATCTCATGACTTAATTTAAAAAGTGACTTCTGTGACATCCTTTTTAATATAGGGGGTAGGAGGAGGGCGAAGTGGGTAAAGGGGATCAAATACATGGTAGCTGAAGGAAACTGGACTTTAGTTGGTAAACACAATAGAATATACAGATGTCAAATTATAATGTACACCTGAAAATTATGTAATTGTATCAACCAATGTTACCCCAATAAACAATAAAAATAAAAGGGGGAAAAAAGAAAAAAAGTTTACCTTATTTACTTCAAATTTAAAGAAGAGACTCAAAAACTACACTTGAACTTGCAAGATAATTTATATATAATTGAATAGGGTCTTCACTCTTTAATTCCACCAAACCAACCGATTCTCACCTCAAACCAAATTTTACAAACTTAAGAAATGAATATGAAAGCATCAGGCAGTATGAATTCTCGGTAAGAACTATTACAATATAATTAATCTGGTGACACATTACCAAAGCTGTAACTTTGGTAGTTAAGTATCTACAGCTCATCATGAAAAAATAAATTTAAGCTGCTCTATAACAAAATTGTTTTAATGAAAATAGCAATTTTACAAAGTATTTGGAAAAATACAGGATAGTTGCAATATCAGGTGCTCTAGTCATTTTGTAAGAAATTCCTTGTGTTTAAATGTTGTTTTGCACTTACATTTCCTTTTCACCAATCTCATCAGTTCACTATTTCCAAGATCTACATTTAAGAACTATGTCACATTTCCCTTTTTAGTTCTATTAGTATTCTTTTATCTGCTACAAATTATTTCTTCTCATATTTTGCAATAGCCTTTTTAGGATCCTTTTTGCCATTTCTCCCTAATAATGCCCTTTAAAATAATAGATTTTGATCTAAATGAATTGTATCTTGCCATATTCAAAATCATTCTAGTATTTCCAAATTTTTGGTAGCTTAATAACTTAAAATTCATTCGGAAACTCTTATAGCTGCTCTTGCATAAGCAAGCCAGAATACACAAAACGAACATACTTCTATCCCCACTAAATTCTGTGTTCAAAAGGAAGAAGTGACTTATGAAGAATTCACATTTTATTAAGACCAAATGCTTTGGTCAAAAAGTAGACGTTTTGAAAAATGATGCTATGGGCTTCACAGACCTCTGATAATAAGTTTGTTTTCTATTCTCTTCCTACCTAAGGAAATAATTTCAAATATAGAAACTATGAAAGAAGGTGTACAACCCTAGAAACTGCCTCTCCCTTTTGCTGCAGAAAGAAAGGCTCCTTAACCTAAAGAAGAAAATGAAGGTAGAGATGGGATACAAGTACTTCGCAACTTTTAGTCCTGGCAAAAAAAAAAAAAAAAAAAAAAAAAAGGAAAGAAAAAGAAAACATTGTTTATAAACTTCTAGGACCAAAAAAAAAAAAAAGCAGGATAAAACCAAACACTGATGAAGAAAAAGCTTTTATACTTCATCAGCAAAATATTTACAACTAAAGTTGATAAATTCCCCCATAGTATAGATTTAATGGTTACATGAAAATATAAATACTTTGTAAACTTTGAAGAATATTACAAGTCTAAGGTGTGCCACATAGGCTCATGTCTAAATACACTACATTTTGTTGTACTAACTTTTTTCTTTTTAATACATTACTATTTAGGATAGTCATTTTACAGAGCAGTGATTGATAAGATGAAAAGTAGCCTTTAATTGTAGTGAAATTATACATACAAAATACACTTCCATGATATGCATTACCAATTTTTTTAAAAGCATGATTTTTACAATAATTTGTAGAAAAACATTAACCTTTAGAAATCATACTTGCTATAATTTATTGTTTTCTAGATACTAACATAAAGTGAATAAGAATGTTATTTGGCAAAAGTATTTCTAGCCCTATCTCCATGGGAAAAACTTTAAATTAAGGTCAAAATTACTGACCCATTATTCTGATCTAGCTGCTTGTATAAAGCCAATACATAGTTAAAATATTCAAAATATGTTAAAGCTGACTAACAATGTACACAGCTCAATTACATCTAATTTTTGAGGACTGCTTAAAACAACTTAGCACAACTATGCCTCAAAGCTTATATATATATTTTAAGGTAAATTCTGCAAGTTTTAAGGGGCTTTTATTTTTTTAAGATTTCTCTTACTTTTCTGTATATCTAAATACTACTTTCCACTGATAGCCATTTAACTGTTAAATATGGTAATAGGTTCTGTGATAAAAACCTCTAGAGTTCCCTCACCCCTACATTCCTACATGTAGAAAAGAAGACTTCCTAAAATTGTCTTGTGATGCAGGTCTACTTAACTGAATCATTAAACCAAAGAACATAGTCTTTTTGCTTGTTTTTGTAACTTTTATTTTGAGAGTGTCCAATAAAGGATATCTTGGCTTTCATGGATTAGATACTGGGATTTAGAAATCAAATGTGGGAATTTCTGTAAAACAATATGTACAATTATGTAACGATAAGGCTTCCTAATTTAATTCTTAAGTTCTAATCTTCATTATGACTGCCATTATTCACCTGTAGAATTATGAAATTGATAGAAGCTAAAATTCTCTTTGCCACCAAAATTACGAATGTTAAAAAGTTCAAATATGCACATCAAAGCTGCAGTAAAATTCTAAATTTCTATTTTTACATGCCACGATCCAGCTGTACCTAACAAAACATGGTGCATTTATATTGGAAAGTGGGGTCCCATTTATTTGTTAAAGACAAAAAAAAAAAAAAAAAAAAGCTGGATCTCAGCATTCACCAGAGCAAAATTCAATGGCAACCTGCACACAGGCTTCAATTTCACTTCTTGCCAAAAACAAAATAGTTTACATAAAAATAGATATAACCCAAGTTACCATATACATCGGTCTACGACCAGTGCTATTTACATTAAAAACATTGCATTGCATAATTCAAGGAATAAAATATCATCATGCATTTCATTTTAAGGTGAAAAACGCAGTTATAGAACTAAGTTTGCTTAGCATGATTGTCCCAATATTTACTAAAGAATATCCAAAAGTTTCTCGTTTACATCCTGCCTTCCACAGGCAACCATTAATCTAAGTATCACATAGAGTATACTTTAGCAACGAGAAACTTTTAAATATATTATACTGGCACATTAAACTGAAGACATGGATACATAATCACATTGAAAGGTTTGATTAAAATATACGAAATAATCCCAAGAATTATAGTTTTTCAAATGTAAAAAACTATTTGGATCATCTTAAAGGAGAGTAGAAGTCCTTTTAAAGTTTAATGTCACTCTTCAGACAAGTACAGACATAGCATACTTATAGAAAGGAACATTATCATTCTGCACAAAATACAGTACTTCAAAAAGAAAAACATTATATAATTGTTACATTAGATGAAGTTTTTGCCATTTCTTCAGGAGAATGACTCTTTATTACTTCTTTGATGAACTGTTCAAGGGCAGTGAAGTAGCCCTGGCATTGCCATGTGTCATTATGAGTTCCATCAGGAAAAATGGCTAATCTCTTAGTCCGAGATGGGGAGAGTTCATAAAGTTGCTTCATCATTACTGGTGGAATTAACTGGTCCGAGAGGCCAGAGATGAAAAGAGAAGGCATTCTGCACTGAGAGATTTTTCTGTAGGACAAAAATTTATTTTTGTAGCACCATAAAGGAAGGTAACGCATTGGAAAGAATGAAAATAAAGTGCTGGCCATATGCGGTATGCTTAAAAATGTATTCTCCACCATAATGGCTGAAATCCTATGTGAATTTTCAGAAGCCAAATGAATAGCCACTGCTCCTCCCAAGGAACGGCCAAAAAGAAAAATTTTTGTTTTGTCAAGGTCAGGTCTAGTCATCACATAGTCTAACACAGCTTCAGAATCTAAGTAGAGTCCTTCTTCACTTGCTTCTCCTTCGCTTTTTCCAAATCCTCGATAATCAACAAGCAAAAGATTAACTTTGAGGTTAACCAACATAAGCAATGCATTTGGTAACCTGTGACCTATGTTGCCTGCATTCCCATGAAAATAAATTATAGTTGGGGAATAGGGTGAACTGTCTCCAGTGTATCTTATCAAAATAAGATTTAGACGCACTCCATCTTTGGTTCTGATGAAAATATTTTCATGTGGAATACCAGTGGGCATGGGAACATAAAGGCGTGAAGAAGATGGCTGTTCTGGAAAATAAAGCAATACATCCTGGAATTTATACAGAATACCTGCTATTGATATGAATATTAACAAAAGTAAGATAATGCCTCCATATAGATGAAAAGTCACTATTAATGGTAAAAGAGAAATACGGCAGAGAGCCCAAGACCACGAAGCCAAGGCTATTAGCCATCTTTCAACAAAGTTCCACAGCATCCAGGACTTTTCCATTGTAGCACTCTGTAAGTGTCCTAAAGAGAAAGAAAGAGACATGAACAGTCATTCAAAATACATCTGTTATTTTCACATTAGAGCCATGACATAAAAATTTATGGTAGTAGGGTGAATCCTTGGATGCCTCCATCCATCTATCCATACACAAAAATAACTGTTCTAATTACCTTTTTCCCTTCTGTTGCCAAATCTTCTTTCTCCCTCCAGTGCTATATTTATGAAACACAAATAGTCATCAAATTATATTCATTTTTTAAAAGTGCTTATTTATGCCAGGTACTTTCATTCATGTACTCTCTTTGATTTGATAGAAAAATAAGTTGATACCATATTCCCAGTTTCTTATATGAGGGAACAGGAGAGCTCAGGGGCATAAGTGGATTAGCTGTGTTTTCATTTTTTTTCTGATAAGTTCCCAAAAGTGAAACTGCTGGATGATATTATAGTTCTATTTTTAATTTTTTGAGGAACCACCATACTGTTTTTCATAGTGGCTGTACCAATTTACTTTTACATTCCCAACAGTGCACAGGGGTTTCCGTTCTCCGCATCCTCGCCAACACTTATTTCTTGTCTTTTTGATACTTGTCATTTTAACAGGTCTGAGGTATCTCATTGCATTTCCGATTAGTGATGTTGAGGAGTTTTTTCATAGACCTGTCTTCTTTGGGAAAATGTCTATTCCAAACTTTCACCTATTTTTAATTGGATTTTTTAAAAAGTTTTTGCGCTGTGTGAATTCTTTATGTATTCTGGATATTAAAACCTTACCAGATAGTTGACTTGTAAATGTTTTCTCCTATTCAAAGGTAGACTTTTCATTCTGTTGATGGTTTCCTTTACTGTGCAGAAATTTTTAGTATGATGTAGTTCCACTTGTCTATTTTTGCTTTTGTTGCCTTTGCTTTTGGTGTCAGATTAAAAAAATCATTGCCAAGACCAATATCAAGGAGCTTACCACCTATGTTTTCTTCTAGGAGTTTTGTGGTTTCAGGTCTACATTAAAGCCTTTAATACATTTTGCGTTAATTTTTGTGTATGTAAGACACTAATCCAGTTTCCCAATATGATTTATTTAAGAGACTGTCCTTTCCCATTATATTCTTGGCTCCTTTGTTGTAACTTAATAGACCATTTATGTGTGAGTTTATTTCTGGGCTCTCTATTCTGCTCTACTGATTTATGTGCTTGTTTTTATGCCAATTCAATACTGTTTTGATCACTACGGCTTTGTAGTACAGTTTAAAGCCAGGGAGTATGATGCCTTTGTTTTCTTTTTTCAAGACTGCTTTGGCTAATTTGGGTCTTTTGTGATTCTTCAGAAATTTTAGGATTATCTGTTCTATTTCTGTGAAAATTACCATTGGAATTTTGATAGAAATTGCACCAAACCTGTAAATTGCTTTGGGTATATGGACATTTTATCAATATTAATTCTTCCAATTCATGAACATGGAATAGCCTTCCATTTATTTGTATTTTCTTCAATTTCCTTCATTAATGTCTTATAGTTTTCAATATACTGGTCTTTTACTTCTTTGGTTAAATTTATTCCCAGGTATTTTCTTTCTTTTTGATGGAACTGTAATGAGATTGTTTTCTTAATTTCTCTTTCCGTTAGTGTGTTATCAGTGTACAGAAACACAACAGATTTTTCAATATTAATTTTGTACCCTACAGCCGCTTTACTGAGCTAGGCAGGTTGAGGGAAATTTTTATTAAAGAGGTAGTTAACAGAGTCTATTCTTTCAAGACCAATCTGATATTCTCAATTTTCTTTTTCACAGTATAGAAAAAATGATTTACACAAACTAAGATAAGACTAAAATATTTTCCTTTCTATCTGTGGGTTTTCACACTAAACTCAAAACATAATTTAAATTAACCACTAGTTTCTAATGTTGTATTATATTTAAGAAAAAGTTCAATTTGTCTTTCACATCTAAAAAGAAATTTCAGATTGCTAGTTTCATAAAATATGCAAAATCTATTACACAGTCCTTATTGCAATTTTATACGAGTGAGTCAACATCGATTGCTATGAGGTATTGATAAGGCCATAAATACTAGGGGTATAAGTATGAAACAAAGAAACAGAAATTCTATTTGAGAACCAGAGATTAATGAAGAAAATGACTTGCTGGACAGAAATCTTTAAAAACATTGCTGAAAAATATACCTGATAAGAAGAAAATACAGAAGAAAAGCTATCAAAAGTCAATTTTTATCCATAAAAAAGTTTATATATGTTGTTTTAAGGCAAGAGGTAAGAGATGTTATAATTTTTATTGTATGGTAGTCATCTACTTACATATTTACCAAGTTTTAAAAGATATTAAATTCTCTTACTAATAAAATTATCATAAGTAAGTTACTCTTAAATTAAAAAAGATTGTTAATGACTGATTTTTAAAACTGTACTGAATGTCATAAGCTAATAAATATTAGCTTTAAACATTAAAAAACATAAACTCAAGTTAAATTAGATTGGCTATAAAGATGATTTAATATACTTTTTACCATTATTTCACTAAATATATTTACTATTTCATGAAACATATTTTCAAATTTGAAATCATGTTCAAATGACTGAACATAAACTACACAGCATTTTTCTGAAGTTTCTCCGAAATCAACACTGCCACCCAGTTGTAGCAAGTTTTATTACAATGGCACTATGTTAAGCTAGAGAAAAGCAGGTGTATGAAAATGAAAATCCCAGTTTAAAAACTACAGATGCAATACCTGAAAACTCAGACCTGGTTAAAAATCAGATTGAAAGAGGCTGCACTACAGTAGCCAAGTAAACCAACTGCAGGGAATACTAAGTAACTATTTCAGGTCAATGACAAAGGCCCTTCACAGTCTATGACTGCTATTTATCAACAGCTTAAATTACACAGGGCTACTCTATATTCCTTCATGGTGGTGGATAAATCTTAACAACACATCTGATCACTTAAATTTTACGTCTAACATTTACTTAATTTTATTTTTTTAAGTATAGACAATATCTGAATGATTTTCTTTTGTACCCAGAAGTTGAACTGGGGAAATATGAAAACACACTGGCATTAACCTAAACAATAAGATAAAAGATTTTTTTGTGTAATGATTAGGATTAACAAGGTTTGGGATATAAAATACAAGCATACCAGAGCACTGTACTATTTGGAAAATAAGATACCATTTAAGACATTTCTCTAGTGAAAAATTTTACTGTATTTCCATAGTTAGGCCAATCATTTATGAGAGGTATCAGAGAGATGAGTAACTCAAACATCAGGTATTTGGCGATATAGTAGGAAAAAATCCTAAAATTCCATCAGCCTTAAAGTCTTCTCTACCATATATTTGTGGAATAATCTTGGGTTTAACATTTATTTCCAGTCTCACTTGTTTTTCAGTAGAATTCGAAGTTAAAAATGCCTATATATAAAGCTGATCTGCATTATTAAATAAAATTTTTAAAAGCATTTATAAATACTATAGATATAGTAAACTTATTTGTTTTTGTGTCTAGTATTTCTGGCTGTACTACTACATTCTTAATTGTGCTCTGCTCAAATTAACAACATCAGAATTTACCACACACCTGTAAGAAAAGAAAAAAATCTAGAAATTAGATAAAGGCATGGCAAAGCACTTCTGTAGTCTAGATAACCAAGAGTGAATTAACTCCACTTTCAAACTAAAGTTCTTATAAAAAAACTACTGCAACACCAGATAAAACAGAAAGCTCCTAATACAAGAACAAAGCATGTTTTAAAATTCAAATCACACACATGCTCACACAAACCCATGTAGATTAAATCTATATAGTTAAAATTTTTTCAATTATGCAAACTTTGAAAAATTATCTTTTAAAAAAGTAGCCTCTTTAATTTCCAACTTCAACATATAATATCAAATTTAATTCTATCAGGCCAGGATTTGTATTTCTCTTTTTCACTACTGAATGCATACTGGGTAGTATGCCACTCTACCTAACTATGTTATGTTACAAACATAACTATGCTGAGCACTGGGCATATGTTTAAGAGTGGACATCAGAAAAATTACATATGAGTCCATTACTGGTTAAGAAAAATAGTGATTAAATTTGCAGTTTTCCACAAAGCATTCTTGAAAAGTCATCTTAACTAAATGACTTTGTGATAAACATAATTTTACAATGGCTTGTAACGGACTTATTTTTCTGCTCCCTAGTCTATATCATATCTCCTCATACTCTTAAAGACACTGGAACAAGCAAACTTAATGTAAGATTCTTTATTTACTAAATTTGCTGAAACTACCAGCAAAGTACAATTACTGGAGCCATCTGCTGAGACGTACAAATAACTTTACATAGACCCAAATGTTATGATAGTCAATATAAATGAATACTGCCTCTAATAGTCCACTGCAAATTCTACAGCTACCAATATACAAATTTTCCATTTATTTTGTCAATAAAGTGTAAGTAAACAGTTAACAAAACCTTTTTTCTCCATAAAAAAAATTGCCTCTGGCTAACCTTCTAGCATGATTTCCCTGGAAACCTCAAAAAGGTGGGATGTCAGCTGTTTCTAAGTAACATTTTGTGTGGTAAATCTGACCACTATTGGTGAGCTAAGTCTGGACTGAGCAGTGAGCAGGGCTATACATACCAAGAATGAAGTATAAAGAGTGGCGTTTCTGCATGGGATATATAATCTGTACCTGGACACTGTACAGTTACAGATGTGCTGTTATAAAAGATATTGTTTCCTGTGGAGAATGAAGCAGCCAAGTCAGGTGGTGGCCACCCATGTGTCTCCTTTCCAGTAGCCTGAATTATCACTTGGGAACAATATACCTCATGCTTATATGCTGGGTTTTCTATTACATATCTTCCAATAAAGCAGAGAGGCTGGGGTCAGGTATGGTCTATTAGGTCTTGTGAGTGAGAATGTCCAGCTGAACCCATGACCACTGCTGCTGGTCATGCAGAACAAGCAAGGTGACTAGTTACCCCTTAAAGTACATCCCATGG